AAAGAAACACGGTTACTAGCCTTTCCTGGAATTTTCATAAAAATTCTGTTGATCGTGGTCATCAGTCTTGACATTTCAACCCTAAAATATTTTGGTATTAATGGAACAATATTAGCTTTGTTTAGATCGTACTTGGTGAACAGACAACTAAAATTGAGAATAGATCAAGCAAGGTGATTTCAATCAAGTCAGGAGTACCACAGGGCATGGCTTTTGGTCGTATGCTTTTGTTATTATACAGGGTGTCTGGACAAGCGTCAATACTTCAAGAGATTATCTACATATGAAATTGAACGAAAAAGTCTCTGTTGTCCAAGGCCTGGATCCGGAATCGTATTAGGGATATTTCACTTAGGTTACTTGAACCTTTCACAGCTTTATCCCATAAAGTCCCTCGTGTCTCATAACATATTAGTCCTACCGTAAATTCCTTTATAGCATTAAAAAGGGCATTGAAAATCCTATGAGATTTGTTTTTACATCGCACCGTTAAGAAAACAAAATGCAAGATCACTTAGAAGAAAAACTTTTACAAGTTTCCCAAAGTTCTTTCCTAAAGTTTAAGTACGATTTTCTTGGCCCTGTAAATACTAACAGATATGGCGCTTACAGAAAGGTTCGACCTTGTTATAAGCCGTAAACACGTGTACTTAAATTTCCAAAGGTCGTTATCACCTGTGTAAAATTAATGTTTGATTTTTCGTTTACAAAGAGTATATTACATCGTAAGCAATAAATCAATCAATCAAATATTCGAGAGTCTGTCATTAGAGTCTTTTATTATGTTGTGATTTTATCAATCAATTGATCATTGTTTATAAGAAAGATTTTCAATGACTATGGACTTTTTTTGTCTGTCTTAAGAAAGTTTTGATCGTAATTGAAGGCTAAAGGCGCACAATCGGTAATGGCACAGAAAATCGAACCGTTTCCTCCCTCTCGTTTAAAAAGCGACCAAGTCCACCGAATAAAAGCATATGTGACTATGTGTTAAGGGCGGAATAATACATTTGACGACCTGGAAAGAGGAGCCGGGTGCTGCCCACCCCAGACAGATATTGAAACGATAAATTCTCGGCCAGTTTTTATCCCCGCGGGCAACATTTGGAAGAAGGTGATTGCGGTCCGTTTCATAAGCGAAAGAGAAGAGCACATGTCACATATTGGACCGAGGTAATGGCCCTGGATATTGGCCATCCGCTTCTTCACGTGCCGACCGTCAACTTCTGATCCCGCTCCACGCCGGAAAACCACTCATATCGACAACTGTTTTCATATCGCTTTATCGCTTGTTTCATTCGTTCCGGTTTTATTGTTCACACATGTCTCTCACATCTCACGGTTTTTTTTTTATTTGGAAATATTTCCTCCGTTGCGTATCCAGGCGAAACTCGCAACATAAAAACGCGAGTTGCATTAGAAATCAAGAAAACTAACATGAACCCTGTTTCTATCCCGTTAAATATTTATCATATTTAAACTTTTCGTTTTAACGAGTCACGCATCTATCTATCAAAACATTCGATATTAGTTCAATAGTAACGAATAGGAGGTATCAAGGTTGAGGTCAACAGTGGTTCTTAATACTTGATACCCTTCATGCAGAGCACTATCCAATCATTGGCATAAATATTCGACTGACAAAATAGAGCCTTGGTTCAATTTATAATGTAGGAAAAGACAGCAGTATCTTAAGAAATGCATGCTTAAATACAAAAATTTGGATGCAGTTCGTTCAATTATTAAAATTAATGGAAATGTAATAATTCCAGAGAAGGTGAAATTGAGGCAAGCGATAAAGAAGAAAATGACAAAGACAATAATAAGGAAGAAAAACGAATAGTATTTCTGATCGAGAAGAGCAAAGCAATAGGAGTTAAAATAGAAGTCAAAGCAGAAGCAAAATTAGGAGTAAGAGCCGGAAAATTAGAAGCCGAAAGCGAGCATTAATCCCAGCTGCAGTAAGAGCAGAAGCAAAACCCAAGCCGCAGCAAGGCAGTAGCAAAAACTCAAGTCGTAGCAAGAGAAGAAGCAAAGCCCAAGCCGCAGCAAGAGCAGTAACAAAAACCTAGGCCGTTGCAAGACAGTAGCAAAAGCTCAAGTGCTAGCAAGAGAAGAAGCAAAGCCCAAGCCGCAGCAAGAGCAGTAGCAAAAACCTAGGCCGTAGCAAGACAGTAGCAAAAGCTCAAGTACTAGCAAGAGAAGAAGCAAAGCCCAAGCCGTAGCAGCACAGAAGCAAAAACTCAAGTCGTAGAAAGACAAGAGTCAAAACTGATTGATAGTAAGGGCAAGAGAAAAAAACCCAAGCCGTAGCAAGAGCAGGAGCAAACCCAAGCCATAACAAGACAGTAGCAAAACCTCAAGTCGTAAAAAAAATGTCGCTTATGATGAAGAGGTTTTTAGTTAGCTTTATTAGTTTAGAGAAGGTTTACTGGAGAAATCTTCATACTCATGAACAATGACTAGATTGTGGTCTAACGAAGGAGTCATCAAACACGAGACTGATGTCTTATGAACTCATGACATTTTCTGCGAAAAGAAAGTATGAATACAATAAGAAAAAAATTGTCGCTGAGTTATTCAGTTTTGGTCATAAAGAGGTTCTTTTCCAGTAAGTGCCTGGCCAATATTTCCTATCAGACCATGATAAATTTAGGTATTTATGGGATTCCTTGCCACCATATAGTGCAGACTTCGCTCCTTCAGAATATTCAGATTTTCATCCTTAGTAATCTGAATATCTATAAATCTCGACTTTGTACAAACCTAGAAAAAATGCCTGTCGGAAAAGACGGATTCCAAATTGTGGTTTGATCTGACAGAGGCGTTTCTGCTTCTCGCCATCTTCAGTGATGAGTGTTTCGCTTCACGTCAAGGCGATCAACCGTTCCCCAACCCTTAGAAATAGTTCCATTTAATTTAGCTAGCAGGAGGTCGCCTTGTAACGGAGAACCATTAGCTATGCGTATTAAAAAGATAGTTTCTGGTATAAAACGCTATTTTATTCAAGGACAATAATGGAGCTTTTGGTAGGAAAAATAATGATAAATTGTTTCCATTGGCATAATTCACATAAAAGCCATAAGCGGAGCTTTCACCATTTATTTCTGAAATGGTTATGAATTCTTTAAAACTAGGTTTCTTCGTTGATCAGTGATCATCGTACAAATCACAATTTGATCTAGTAACAGTTTTTCATGTTATTTGAAATGTTGAAAAAACGCGTATTATTAATAATAATTTGGAAGGGATATTTTTATTTAATGGTTTTGATTACAATTTCCAGCTTATAACGGACCTTCTTGGGCACATAATTATTGACATATTAACCTAAATGTAAGGCTAATGAGCAATTAAACTCGTTAGGGAAGTAAAATGTACTGTCAAGCTGAAATACACAGAATCAATGCTTATGCTAACATCTTAAAATAGATTTCACTGATAAAATAATCCTCATAAAATGAGACAACCGCCACAACAACAAAGCTAAAAATTGTCTCCCTGTTGACTTTGGTTCGTTTTCAAATTTAGCATTAATTACTAGCTTGTATCCATATAGGATCAAAATAATGATCTTTAATTTTCTATAAGGTAGTATAGAAAAACATCCCTTCCATTGCACATTTAAAAATGTCCATGTATTTATTTTACGGAATATAACATAGGATATCACAAAAGGGAAATATTTTGGCGAAAATAATATGAATGTATCATAATGCAGAAAGCTAGGTAAATGTAACGGGGTTGTCCGCTTATTCCGCTTCAGAAAACGTGTTGACATAAAAACATGATGTAAAATCCTGGTCGTCTGCCTGTACTTTGATGCATTATAATTATATAAAGAAATGTAGAGAGAGAAAGGAAGAATTATAGACCAATAGACAAAAATATATAGATGGACAGATTGATAGATAGATAGATAAATAGATCAAGAGAAAATAAGAGAGGGAGAGAGAGAGAGAGAGAGAGAGAGAGAGAGAGAGAGAGAGAAAGGGAGAATATAAAAGAGAGAGACAGAAAGAAAGAAATAGATTAAAAGAGAGAGAGAGAGAAGGGCTAGGGAGAAAGATAAATAAGAAAAAAGAGAGAATATGGGTGAGAGATAGAAAAAGATAATTAGATAAAGAGAAATGAGAGAGAGAGAAAGAGAGAGAGAGAGAGATTGAGGGAGAAGAGATAGAGAGATAAATAGAAAAGGAGAATATGAGGCAGAGAAAGAAAGAGGTAAATAGATAAAGAGAAAGACAGACAGAAGAGATAGATAGAGAGAGAGAAGAGATAGATAGAGAGAGAGAGAGAAGAGATACAGATAGGGAGAGAGAGAGAAAGAGTGAGAGTGAAAAATAGAGATTGAGGGAAGTGATAGAGAGTGAAAGAGAGATTGAGGGAGAAGAGATAGATAGATAGATAGAGAGATGGAGAGCGAGAGAGAGCGAGAGAGAGAGAGAGAGAGAGAGAGTGAGAGTGAAAAAGAGAGTTGAGGGAGAAGAGATAGATAGGTAGATAGAGAGATGGAGAGCGAGAGAGAGAGAGAGAAAGAGTGAGAGTGAAAAAGAGAGATTGAGGGAAAAGATAGAGAGTAAAAGGGAGATTGATGGAGAGAGAGAGAGAGAGAGGGAGAAAGAGTGAAAAAGAGAGATTGAGGGAAGAGATAGAGAGTGAAAGAGAGATTGAGGGAAGAGATAGAGAGTGAAAGAGAGATTGAGGGAAGAGATAGAGAGTGAAAGAGTTTGAGGGAGAAGTGACAGATAGATGGAGAGAGAGAGAGAGAGAGAGAGAGAGAGAGAGAGAAATATGTTGAATGTGAGTGAGAGGTAGAAAGCGATAGGTAGATAGTTAAATAAAAAGAGAAAATATCCAGAAAATCGTTGTGTGGTAATTAATACATAAAAAACGAAAGTGTTTGGTAAGTTTTTAAAAACCAGATTTGCAAATTACGTTCGAAGTTTGTAGTTATTTTGTGGGATTTTCACTTAAGAATAACTAAAATAGATACTCACATTATTCCAAAATACAATCCATTTGGTATAACGTAACAATAAAACTGAACTTTTTAATGACGTGATGACTAGATAATCGTGTAGTTATTTTCAAAGTGACTATAGAGAGGTTACAGTAAAACTGACTATATTTGTGCGTAATGTATTACATTTTAAAATGATCAAAGGCCTGTGGAGAGCAATCAGAGAAATAAGGCGCGAATAGGATTTGAAATTTGGAATTCTGTGATGTTTCTGTGTTGTAAGTTCGAATTTGAAACCTTCCAGTTATAACTCAAGCATCGAGAAGCTTGGATTGACATTTGACACCACAGGTGAAGATATCCGAACGCTACCACCGAGGATCGTAAGATGTTTTGACTTTGCTGTGAGCGAGCGAGATGTCCGGTCCCGGCTGCTGCGCACACCCGAAGAGGCTGGGCGTCCACGCTCTGGACGCCTTGTCGTTGACGGTCGTTGTCATGTTCCAAGGGACGGTCCTCAACTATTACATCATATCCCATTACAAAGACTCGGTGACGCCGTATTTCCTGTTCGCGGCGGACGCCCTCTGCATATCCACGTTCATCGGCACTCTCGTCGCCTCCTACTCATACCTGGTGCGCGTCTACGTCTGCAAGGATGCCGAGGACGGGATTGGCACCAAGATCCGCGCCAGGCTCAAGTCATCGGCACCCAAGATCGGCGTCATGCCGCTCTCCTACGTCTCCTGGCTGTTCTACGTCGTCATCCTCGTCACCAAGATCGTCGTCATCTTCGAGTCCGGTCTCGCCGAATCACTCAACCCCATGGAACACTTCGGGCCGCAGCTACTCAAAGTAACTTCCTCTTTTTACCTTATAAATGATTTGATCTACAAATTACAGCTACAAAAGTGATGCCATGCTTTAGAAACAAGGTCTTATGGAAGTGGTTATCGACTGGCATAAATTGACTCGTCACCTAAAGCTGCGTACCCACCATGTTTGCGAACCAAGTTCGTCTTTAGTGTGTACACTTCTGCACTCGGAGCGTTCAACAATTTTCATGAGCGTTCCAATGGCAGTCAGTTTTGGGGTGGAACCTTATATAGTGTGTACGCTCTTGTAGCCTAACATCACATTGAACAATCTCATGGAGTGGCCGCAGGAAAAATGTCTCGTTCTTATCGCACTGTACCAAAAATACCCATTATTGTGGTATCCTAAAGATTCCAATTATAAAAAACAGGAAGTCATGGTTAGCTCTCTTTTTATAGAAATTTGCTAGCCAAAAATGTCAGGGTCTTCTATAAAATAGTAGATGAATATATATGCTGCACTAGCCACCATCTAGGATGACATATTAATCCTTCCTTGTTCGGATCTCTTGCTGAGCGACCATGTTTGTGACCTCACCTCCACTTGAAATAGTTACAGGTTCGCGTACTTAGTGGGTACACAGCTCAAGACATGGATTCTCTTGTGATAGTTAGTCAGACTATTATTAACCGATAAGACAATTTTACCTCTTGCTTTGCCATTGTCAGTTGGAACCATCAAATACTTTGGTCTGCTTAACATATAGGTGGCTCCATGCGGGATTGGCCAAATGCCGAGCGACAATATTCGGTGCACACCTTGCTTGGCTAATTGTAGGTTTTGTCTGCTTCAAAGTGCATGAATATTCGTGAAGTGGCTGAATTCAAAGCATCCACTCAGGAATGAATTGTAATCCTCAATCAACACTTATTATTTACTTCAATTTTTTTTTAAATAATAAACAATTCCTAACTGGTGTAAATGTATCAATGAAACAGCAATATAGCTGTTGGTCCATCTTAACACTTAACACTGGAGTTCCTCGAGCTGTTCCAAGCTGAACCAATAATTTGGAATGCTTCTCTTCCAAATCACAAAGATCAGTTTTTCAGTTTTGGGGTGGGGCAATATTCTGTGACTGAGTTTTTAGCCACTACACAAAACAACTACAACAAGACAGTTTCACTGTTGTCCGTCACAACTGGTCGTTCATTGAGGACTTGAATGGCACTTGGTGAATATTAGCTGTTTCTGAACAAACTGTGTGGTTGTCCAAACCCCGCATGTGCATATGTGTAATGCCAAGACGAGCATCCCGAGACTTAGCAAATATTGGACATATCGAATACTGCATGTCTAGAGCCACCTTAACATCCAGTAAAGTGCATTGACTGACATCTTTTGACTCATGGCAAAGCATCAGTGAGATATTTTGATTAATGATTGATCCAACACTTAGTCCTGTCAGAGGTTGCCTCTTCTGCTTTTGTGGATCTGTTCTTCCATGGGCTGCCTTTGCAGCTTGCTTCTGTTAAAATGTCTTTTCCCATTTCATCTTGTACTAAAGAAAATGCACTGAGAATCAGTGTTGTTTGGCTGACATAACTAAGAATGTGACCCTATGACACAAACCTACCACTGAAGATGGCAAACTCCAAGGATAGGCAGACCTAACCTATTGAACAACTACCATGTATTTATGTTGAACCTGCACTGGGTCTTGTTCTACTAACTTTTCAGCATTGCGCCATCTTCAGTGATGAACTTGATGTTCCTTTATTGATTTGAGTAATTCAACAAACCCACATGTGAAGAAGTACCCAGTAACTAATCCAGTGTCGGTTCAGTAAGTTCACCGACTCATCGACCAACACCGAGCATCAATTACCAAGTATTTAACTAACTCTGATAGTTATGTTTAACAAAATTAAATGGTTTAAATGATTAAACTTAAATTTCTTGAGTACTTTGTCAGATGTTGCAGTGATGTTATGTTACAGGTGACAATCGCATCGTCTTCTTTTGTTTTTCTTCTACTTGCCGAAGGGCACAATTGGGTCAAGCGAGGTCTTCCGAGGAATGCTTATGTCACTACTGTATGTGCCAAAACTGGAATAGAGATATTTGACTCTGTTTCCCTTTTGTCCATTATCCTAGAAGGTCCTAAAGAGTTAACAGAAGGTTTTAAGGATTTAGTGCTCGGCCTGGCTGCAATTAATTTTTTCCTACCATCTGTCAAGCTTTATCAGTTGAGGTAATATAAATTTTTTAAATTAATTTATTAATGTGAATTAATTTTTTGTTTTTGTTAGCTTTCCTGACTTGTCTATTAATACAGTCGCTAAGACTGTCACCATGATATACATGCTGGCACATATTGTGCTCATAGATATACCTTTTTTGTCGGTACGGCTTTACCTCTGGTTGAACTTTCGCCAAAATGCTTCCATGTTCCTCATGAAGAATGTATTGAGCATAGTCTTGACTCTTAGAGGAATGTACCCGGAATTGATTTCCTTCAAGCACGGCTTCTTCTTGGCTGAAGGCAACACGAAATCGGAAGAAGAGCCGAATTTGAAAAACCCGAAGGAATCGGGTGATGAAGTGATTTGCCTGACGAGAAGAAATGCTGGTAAACAAGAGAAAGAGTTATCAAAAGTGGATTCTGCACAATTACACGACAAAGAAAAAACCGAATCTCCAAGGAGGGACAAAGAAATTGAATTAGAAACATTAATGGTTATCGAATAAACTCGAGCGGCTCTGGTTTACTGAGGATTTACCATTTTCTTAAGCGATCTCTTGTTTAGACCTGTTTTGTTTATTTCTTTTAATAAAAAATGATTTTGAAATGTACGCTTTTTACAGATTTTGTAACTTATTATTGGAACAATTTTATTAACATAAGTTTGTGATATAATGTAACTTTTCTAACTTTTTTTTGTACTTATATTTTTATAACTATTTTTATAACAGAAAAGTTTTATAAAATATATAAAACGTATTTTGAACAAATTTTCTGGTTTTATATTTCATTATTTTTTAACCTTCATGTTTTATGATAAAATTTATCACATTTATAGTTTTTTAAATTTCAAATTTACCTTTTTTTACACTAATGAATGAGTCCTCGGGTTTAAAATTAATTACTAGATAAATTCCAAAAACAACTGAAAGCAAACTGAAAGTGTTTCCTATATGTTGTCACTTCCTTTAATACATTGGGAAGAAAAATATTTTGTTCCTAGACTAACCGTATATTTATATTTTCATATATATTTTTGCTAATTTTGTACTTTGTCTTTCATTTGACTTTGTGCCTCATGAAAAAGTATAGAAAAAATGATGTGCTGAATAATTTAGAGGATGTTAAAAAATGGTATATTGGAAGCAGTCTTACAGGGGGAAATTTTAAGCCCATTTTTGTTTTCCTATTTTTAGCAGACATTATAATGTATTGAACTTGGTCATACAGCTTGTGCGGTTGAAATTATAAACAAGAGATTTTATCATGCTCTTAGCTTTTATCTGTCAAATGAACCCTTTTTAACTTTCAAATTAACCTTTTTTTTACCCCACTGAACTAGTCCTTGGGTTTAAAAATAATTGGCAGAGAAGATCCAGAAACAACTGGAAGCAAACTACTACCTGCTTCATATAATTTATTATAAATATAGGAAAAAATTATGTCTGAATAATTAACAGGATGTTAAAAATGTAAATGGTCTCTTGGAAGGAGTCTTGCAGGGGGAAATTTTAAGCCCATTTTTGTTTTCCAATTTTTTAGCTAACATAATATATTGTACTCGGTTATATAGCTTGTGCGGTTGAAATTAAAAACGAGATTTTTTCATGCTCTTTTATCTGTCAAATCAACCCTTTTTTGTACCCTACTGGAATAGTCCTTGGGTTTAAAAATAATTTGTAGAGAAAACCCAAAAACAGCTGAAAGCAAACTACCACCCACTTCAAATAATTTATGCTAAATATAACATAATATAGATTAATTAGTAAATTATTTCTTGCACTTTACAGAAATTATTTCCTCATATATTTTGTCACTTCGTTTAATGCATTGGAAGGAAAAATATTTTGTTATCCCAGACAAACTGTGTTTACATTATCTTATATATTTTCGCTGATTTTGTACTTTCATAAAGCCTCTGTGCCTCATAAAAATTATTTTAAAAAATTACTGCGCTCAATAATTAACACGATGTTAAAAATGTAAATGGTATCACAGAAGGAGTCATGTGGGGGGAAATTTTAAGCCCGTTTTTGTTTTCCTATTTTTTTATTGGACAATATCGCGTATTTTACCGATCATGAAGCTTGTAAGGTCGAAATTAGAAATGAAAGATTTTTTATCACATTCATAGCTTTCATCTGTCAAATTAACTCTTTTTAACTTCGAATTATTTCTTTAAAGCATTAAGAAAATTTGGGGGTGAAATATTTTAAGCATATAAATTAAAATTTGAGATTGTTGTTAATATAAAATAATTGGACTCTCAGACCACATGAAAATAACAAGTAAAAAAAAATTTTTTTTAGAAAATTAAATCGAACACTCCTATGCATATTTAAAAAAAATAATATTCATATAGGTATTACATTTCTATAATTTGCATCTGACAGACCAACCCAGCAAAAATAGACAGGCCAAAATGAACAGTAACAATCAAACTGCAGATTTATTACAAAGGTATAAGTAAATTATGTATAAATAACAAACATGGATACAATACAAATGTTTTATTTACAAATTAAAATACATTATACTTATTTTTAAGTTGATATACTACTCTGCAGTTGTTTATAAAGGAGTTCTATCCTGGGGTTCATGAGCGGTTGGCCTTTCCTGGTTTTCCTTGACAATTTTTTAACCCTTTCCAACTTTTTAATTTTATACTGTTGTAAAGCTTCTTGTTGCTCTTTTTTTCGTTTCAGCCTATCCTGTTCTTCTTGCTCCCGTTGCTTTTTCTTTTCAGCGAGGGTCTGTTGTAGGGTGACTTTTTGTTTGTGACTGTTAAATAAAAATTGTTAAAATTTGACAAAACTTTTTTGTCAACAATAGACAAACATCTTAACAAATATTTAAACGTTGAAACAAAACCTACTTTTCTTTAAATCTGCCCTTTTCCTGATTTGACGATTGGGAAAGGTCTTTTTGTGTGAATCCTTCTTTCCTAAGCTGTTTGTTAAGCTTGTGCTTCATAACTTTCCTCCTCTTCTCTTCCCATTGTTTCACTTAAAAATAAGAAAACACTGATTATCACTTATTTTATTTTTTAAAAAAATCCTTTCTTCAATAATTCTACTAATCTAAATTTTTTTTCATTTTCAATATTTTATTACAATGTGCGATTTTTGATTACAATACGTAATTTGATGAATACAGATATATGTACAGTACAATTAAAAAAAATATATTTACGGCTATTTACATATTTACATTGAGGGGGAGTTGATGTTGAGCACAGCAACAAGACAAATATTTTCAGGGGGTCTCCCTTTCTGCTCCCTACCTGAAGTGACTGATGAACTTTAATAATGTTAATGCGTTTATGTTTAGTGGTCTAACACCATATTAATTAATTCAATTAATTATTCTTTTTATGTAAGGTCTTGGTTGAGATGAAAAAGCTAGTGTAATGAGCAGGATTCAAATCCACGACCTTATCTAACCTAACCTAACTTCAATACACTGTTGCTCTAACCACTTGAGCTGTCGTGGCTTCGATCCACTCCGGCACCAACTCCCCATTTCAACCTACAACCTTTCGAATTTTCCCTCCTTTTGCCCTTTTTCAAGTCACGATCATCATCGATAGACCAACACAGAAAGAACAAGCAACCCAACATGATTGGTAACTACCAAATAACAGGCTCATCACACCACAGACTGCATACTTCTCGTATGAAAACCTAGCACTTTTTTGATTTCATAGCAATAAATTCAATTCAATATTATTAAAGAGGTATAAAAATTGTACACTGTGAAAGTTTTAAAATAAAAAATTACTAAGTGTTAAAAAGTTTTGGCATTTGCAACTAAAACTGAACTTTTTCCATGTCATATCTCTTTTCTTACATTTCCAAGCTGAGATTCATGCAATCGAAAGATGTACCAACTCAACCTAAGTATAGAATACAAAAACAAGAATATAGCTATCATGTCAGATAGCCAAGCAGCCATCAAAGCACTAAGCTCAAATATCATTAGTTCAAGGATGGTGCTGAACTACAAAACCAAACTAAACATATTAGGTATGCAGAATAAAGACAGCCTCTGCTGGGTCCCAGGACACATGGGAGTAGAAGGCAACGAGAAAATGGACACCCTTGCAAGGAAAGGAGTTGCTACACCGCTGACAGGACCTGAACCCTTCTGTGGCATAGGAACCCACACTATTAACAAGTATCTCAGACAGAAGGACAAAAAGAAAATTAGGGAACTATGAAATTCGCTCATTTGACACAGGCAATCCAAGAATCTTCTAACCGATTTCGGAAGAAAAGAAATTACAGAATGTGTCAAAGTATGCAATAATCCAAAATGGCACATGCAGATTCTGCAAAGAGGCAGAAGAGACACCAACAAACTGCGGAGCTACACAGCCCGCAGGAGGAATTGTTGGGACGTATAATGCGTGCATAGAAGAGCTTCAACCATTGAAACCGGGCCTAATAATTAAGTTTCTTGATGAAATAGGACTCTCCGAAATGCTTTAGGGAGAGCACGGGGGATACAACAGCTCTTAAAGGGCGCAGTATACTATACCCTTTAATTACATCTACATCTATTACCTCTCGCAGCTTTGCTGTATTTAATTTCTCTCCATTTTTTCTTGTCGAATTTTCTTTTCGGCTCATCCTCAGATGTTTTTTTTAGTTTGGAAGTCATCATACAGATAGTACAATTTGAAGTTACGGACTGAGAAGTTAGAAACGACGAAGTAACACGACAATAACCTCCCTGAATGTATGTTTCTGTTCGCGTGATTGGCCATTTATCGATGACGTCATTATATACAATTCAATTAATTATACTTTATACAATATGATTATTCAGAAATCGTGAGATGCGGTCTGGTGTGATGTAGGTTTCAGAAAAACATTTTCTTTATCGTGCCAACGTTTCGATCTTTATTGAGATCATCTTCAGGGCCTGGGATTTACAAACATTGTTTACATTTAACAAAAACTCCTTGATTGAATATAAAAAATATATTTTGCATTGTATAAATTCACTTTTCTACATCCTCAATGTATTTGTTAAATGTAAACAATGTTTGTAAATCCCAGGCCCTGAAGATGATCTCAATAAAGATCGAAACGTTGGCACTATAAAGAAAATGTTTTTCTGAAACCTACAGCACACCAGGCCGCATCTCACGATTTATGAATAATTATAAAAATTAATAGAAATCTCTTGGGGAAACGAAAATTCTTGTTGTTTAAATTTAACAAATACATGTAGGATGTGGAAAAAAGTGAATTTATACAATGCAAAATATAACCATTCAACCAAAGTATTTCTACTCACTCAAAGTGTTTGTTTCCTGCGTAAATGTGTCATTCTTGCGTGTCGTGTTGAGAGTGCCAGTGAGATATTGCTGTTTTGTGTTTATATACGTTGGATTTTGAAGGGGTGGGGAAGGAAGTCGGTATAGAAAGACATTTTTGTATAAGGAGTAGGCGTCTTAGAGGTGAAACGAGCCGACGAAGGGAAAAAAACGTTCGGCCAGATTATCCTTTCAGGATAATTCAAATTACATTAGATACATTTAATAGCTTTCATCCATCCCTACAATTTACACATGAAATCGAAAACAACAAAACAATACCATTTTTAGATACACTCGTAATAAAACAACCAGATGGCACATTAATCACAGATTGATATCAAAAACCAAAAACACAGATCGCACCTCAACTTTACATCTCACCATCCTCTTCATACAATAATAAACACAGCCAAAGGATTACTTCACAGAATGATTACCCTAAGCCATGAATTGTTTCACTAGAAGAACATAAAGATATACAAACATATCCTCCATAACAATCACTCCCTAAACACTTAATATTCTGTTGATTAATCAACAGAATAATCAACAACTACAACTCAACACTAACATCATCTACTAGTACTAATAATACATCAAATCTATCAAATACAAACAAACCAGCATACATTTCCATGCCATTCGTTCATGGCCTATCACATAAATTAAACACATTTCTCTCGTCCGATAACTTTAAAATTGCTTTCAAAAATTAAAAACAATTCAAACACTTTTATCCAAAATTAAAGATCCCACACCAATAACAAATAAATCTGACATATCTACAAAATCAATTGTTTACATTACATGTTACATCCCAATATCTGGATAAGAGAGTAAAGCAGCTTATCTATGATTGCAAAAAATCCAAGCAAAATCCTACAGCACTCGCTACCCACTATTTTGAACACAAACACAATTTCGACTTCAACAATCCATAATTATTACACACAGAACAAAACAAACATAAACGTAACGTTTTAGAAATGGTTTACATAAACCGAGATAAACACAGCATCAATTACAGAACAGACACATGTAAATTCAGTCGCAGCATGCCAATATCATTAATCAAATTCAATATCGATAACATACATATATCATCCATCACACAAAACTTATAAAACATTCATCACATTCCACACATCAAACATTTTTACATAGTCTAATTTTTCAACAATTTAGCATTCCTTTTCCTATTTATCCCCGTCTATATAATCCTGAAAGGACAATCTGGCCGAACTATTACCAACGTTTTTTCCCTTCGTCGGCTTTTTTCACCTCAAAGAAGCCGACGCCTTATACAAAAATGTCTTTTTATACCGACTTCCTTCCCCCACCCCTTCAAAATCCAACGTATATAAACACAAAACCCATATCTCACTGGCACTCTTAACACGACACGCAAGAATGGCACACTTACGCAGAAAACAAACACTGAGTGAGTAGAAATACTTTGATTGAATATAAAAAATATATTTTTTGCATTGTATAAATTCACTTTTTTTCCACATCCTACATGTATTTGTGAAATTTAAACAATGTTTGTAAATCCCAGGCCCTGAAGACGATCTCAATAAAGATCGAAACGTTGGTACGATAAAGAAAATATTTTTCTGAAACCTACATCACACCAGACCGCATCTCACGTTTTCTGAATAATCATCGACTAACGGTCACTAATCACCACACAATATATTATTTAAAATTAATAATAATAATTTTCTTTATTGTGTAGTTAATGTTATTAATACATACTAAATACTTTTTAAGTTCTTTGTTTACATTATTTTAAAAGTTGTTGTAATTCTTGTGAAAGAGCATTGTAAGTCAACTTGGATGACCGCTGATGTTCTAAAGTTCATTCCTAAATGTTAATTATTTGTAAATATTATATTCGATGAAAAAAATTAAAGCACTATTATTATATTTATCGGTTAAGTAGGATTTTAGGATGAGGTGGTAGATAAAAGGAAGTATATGCTTCCAACTGTAACACATAAATTCAAAATGTAATTTATTATTATTTTTTGTTTTGTTAAAAAAAAGAAAAAGAGCTTTTATTGTTGTTTATTAATAACACACTTGACAGTACAAAATAATCCTAAATTTACTAAGTACATATTTATTTACATATTAAAAATTTTTTTTTTTTTACAATATAGTGTAGTCAATATACACTTGGAAATTCCATGTAAATAATTAAAAAATAAAAATAAAAAATACTAAAAGCAACTAGTGCTATATGCTGTACTATTTTATTACATAAAGATTTTCAAGTGAGGTTTAAATGTTGTTTTATTAAATATGAATTCACATAGTTTGTTGGGTTATGTTTTAGGTGGTGGCTTTTTGTTCTCTTTGTGCGTGCCCAAAAGTTGAATGTCTGTGTCTTTTAGTTCAATGTGATTCTCCTTCATAGTTTTCTGGAAAAAAAGTAAAAACAAAAAAAAAAAGATTAAAACAAAATAAATAAAATTGGCCAATTTGTAACATAAAATTTTTTTTCAGTAGCACTAATAAAATATATCCTAGAATGTTGGTTGTATTTATTTATTTATTTTTTTAAACTAAACATGCCAATTATATTCAATATATTTCCGTTGCTAATGCATTTTTTATGTACATAGGTAAAAAAAAGTTCTTACAGTTTTTGATAACAACAAGTGCTTATTTATTATAATATAATATTGTAGTTCTGAAGAGGGCCTAGGGATGTGGCCCAAAATGCATTAGTAACTGAAATATATTGCATAAAAATAAGTTGGTGTGTTTAGGGAGAAAAAAAAAAAAACGCAACATTCTATATTTAATCTTTTTACCACCAAATTAAGTTAAAATTATATTTAAAAAAAAATTAAAAATACATTCGATCTTAAAATCCCTTTTCATTCATGCTTTCAAATTATTAATTACAGAACAAACTCATTCGCAATTGTGAAAACATTCTTGACTATACTTTTTGAACTGATTGAAATTTTGATTCCCTTTTAAAAAAATCCATTCACACTGTAGAGGGTCAAATTGCAATGGAATGAACTACTTTGAACAATACCTCAACACACTCTTTGTAAACTTTAAGCAGCCCAGCACACATTGAATCATTATAGTCGCCTTTTAAAAATTTCTGACTAAACCAAACATTGAAACAAGCATCATATTGTTCCTTCAAAGTGCGACAAGCCTCCATTTATGCCTTATCCTGAAAATTCATTTGTGTTAAACGAAATTATGCTTGGAAAAATGTACCTGTATACATTGCTGGTATATTTTAAATAGAGGTTCGCAAAACTCATCGTTTGTCACACCTTTAAGAAATTTTTCTCTAAACCAAATGCTAAAGCATTCGTCATATTTCTGTTTTATCTCTGTGCAAGTATTTCCGATACTGTTCATCACTGTATCTGAAATGATGATCGATTCTCATGTTATTATCTGCATGTATATTTTTATCTGTATAAATAAAAAAATACTTAAATGATTACCTTAACTAGAATTTTTACAAAAGCAATAAATGTAGAGGAAAAAAAGTTTCTGGGACATTTTTAAAATCTGTATTTTTCCATTATGTCATTTGTTTGGCCTATTTTTAATTTTTTTTTAAAATTTAAATTGATGATGAATGTTAGTTTGCGAGTCAATGAACAAATGTTGAATTGGCACTGCAACACTAACCGGGTAGGAACTGACCTCACTGAATATGGGACAAAGCCAAAACACATTTCAGTGATGTCGAAACCCACAATTAAAAGCCAAATTCACAGCCAGTGCAACATTTTATTTTTAGAATTAATTATACTTTTTATCTAAGGTGTTGGTCGAATGAAAAAGTTTGTGTTAAGAGCGGGATTCGAACCCACGACCTTTCTATTCAGCAGAATTCAGCCGAAGGTCGTGGGTTCAAATCTCACTCGTGACATTAATTTTTTTATTTCAACCAAGACCTTAGTTAAAAAGTTTAATTGATTGAAATAATTAATATGGTTGATTATGACTGCTAAATATATATGGATTTTTTAAGTAATACAAATTTTAATTTTTGCATCTTTTCAGCATCTATTGCGCAATAGGCAGTTGAGAATTTTTGTTTTGTACTTTATTTCATTATTATTTTTTATTATTTATGTGAATATGTTAAAGCTAAATAAATAATTTAAAATAATAAATTATGAGGTACTCCATAGTATCTATTGGCTGATTTGGTATTTTCTGATCATCTTGGACTAGCAGACTGAATCAGTGAGGATTGAACAAAATGTGCAAAGTATAAAAGATGCTGAAAATGTCCAAAAATTAAAGTCCAATGTTAAAAAAAACCTACAACTCCAAAACAGAGCCAAACAAATGAGATCAAATATTGAAAAATTACTGTGACAATCAAAAATATGTTTCTATATACATTATCAATATGCACCTAGACAGAAAAAATGTTAGTGTGCTGTTTAATGTGTTGACTGTGGAGTGTTCAAAGATGTGAGATGACTTCCTTTTCATTTCAAATGCTTTATTCAGGCCCAGGAAACATTTTGGCGTCTGGTGCTCTGCAGTCAATGTTAGGTGTTCTTCAGCATTTTGCATCTTTGTGAAGGGTCTGTGAGATTTGTGTGAAGTCAAGTCACTTTTATAAGTTCCTGAAGAGTAGGGTACCATTATCTCTGTTTGTCGGTGACTTTGTTGGATTAAGTTAGCGATTTTTTTATTGTTCTAGTTGCAATAAATCTAACCTAAATCGTGAGATTTCCTCCTATGGGGTTAAACTTATCATGTGATTCTACCATCTTGGTCTGTCTACTTTTGCTGGGTTGGTTTGTTAAGCATTTTGCTATCTTCAGCCATCTGATACCCATGAAGTGATGGGTCAGGGATAAAAATAGGGAGAGGCAAAGAGAGCAACCGATCAAAATGATTGGATATGACTGAAGTGCAAATGTAATTTAATCTTGTCAACCAAAATGATGTTACTATAATACTAGTCAAGGAGTATATATGTGATTGAAAGGAATGATAAAGCTTAAGCTAATCCAGGTTTTTAACAATAATTTGTGAGTGCATAAGCATAAGCATGTGAAATGCCAGGTCCAACATTAGCAAAAAAGCTGTGCAATAAAATTCCAACACACAAGAAAACTGTATGAATGTTTTTGTTCTTGTAAATTTATTTTTTTGTAATGCTGACCATTAAACAACGCGTTTTTTGGTCAGTAAAGATACTTTCACCATTTTGACATCTTCAGTGAATTGTTTGATTGAGGTTCATCACTCCGCAGGTGTCAAGAACAAATCTCAAAATTCATGAAATTTTCTCAGTTTTTTTAATGAACAGGTCTTATTGTCAATCAATATTTTCATACCAGACTATTATTTGTGCAGATAATGATTAAAAGTGCTTCTTGAGGTCTGTGAGTGATAGTGTTGTTGGTTTTCCAATCATCTTGGTCTATCTCTTTTGGTCTTAGAGCCATTAAGGCTTCTTTCTTAAGCGGTTGATCAGGGTTATAAGTAGGGAGAGGCAAAGATAACCAATCACAATGATTGCAAACGATCTAAATATAAGTATAATATAATCTTTTGACTAGAATAATGGATTAGTGTAAAAAACAAAATGGAGTGGCCTATAATTTAGCCAAGGAGTGTATGTACGTGTGGAAAAGCATTATTTTATTTCACCCCGAGTTAATGATCATGACGAATGTCCTCGCAGTTTTGGCCTGCCGAACCCATTATGGGCTTCTATCCTAAGTGGTGGATCAAGGATATAAGTAGGGAGAGGCACCCAACAACCAAATTATAAATATAATATTATCTTGTACAATAGAGTTAAAATTTTTGTCTCAAACAAAACGGACTGGCTTGTAATTGATTAGAGGAGTGTATGAACCGTTCATAGCTCAACACACAAGAGTTAAGACTTCAAAAATTAATTTCTGCACTGTTTTGAGTCACCGTATGTGCCTACAGTTTGCAAATGTAAAATCGATTTGGTGCATAATGAAAATGTTTTTAAAATGTAAACTACCCAGGGAAAGGGTCAAAATACCGTAAAATAGCCTGGTAAAACTTACCGGAATATTCATTAAACACGTTTTTTGAAAATTTTTACAGGTCCTGTCGTGTCTTTATCCCAACGGTTAGAAATCGTTTTAAAACATATCTCCAAGAATTTATTATTATTTTTTTTTGGAAAGGGCAGAATATGGAATAATTGAGCTTGTCGAAGTATCAACGATGCCGGGGCCCTGCTTTGTCCTTCCTGCTCGCCATTACACACTGACCGTCAGCTGGATAGTGTTAGCACTTTAACAGCATGATTTGATAACGAAAAGATAACCGTTTCACAACAACTATCGATACTAAAGATAATAAATCGATAAATTAAAATAAATCAAATTTTATTTATTATATCATTATTTATTATTATTTAACAATAATCAAATAGATTTTGGTAAAGGTTTAAACAGGTTGCTTGATATTGGTCGGCATCAAAATAATAAATGCGCTGTAATATGATGACTAAAGTGTCAATATATTATTACGTAAGCTTTTACGTACCTGTTTTAATAAATTTATATATGGAAAAATGAAGATTAGAAAAAATATTAAAATTATTATTTAAAAAAAATATTTAAAATATTTATCGATATGTGACAGTTTTTGGAAGGTTAAGTTTACTTTTGCTGTTATAGTCACAGCACGTCCTATGTCGTACACACTTTGGTAAACGGGTTTATTTAGTGAGTTAGTTTTATTTTTTGAAAATTTCGGATTGTTTTATAAAATTATAATTCGTTTTTAGTCGGTCTCGACGGATTTGGGGCGTTTCGGTCCTTAAACGATCCTCTTCGAGAATGTCACGCGAGTCCTTGGTGAAGGACATCAACGACTTCAAATTCTCCAAATGCAAGATCCTCGACTTGCCGATCGACGGCATCAGGGACAACTTCGTGAGACGAATGATGAAAGGTGTCGTCTTCTCCCGGGTCGCACCGACCCCCCTGGCCAGCCCGAGGCTGGTATCGTTTTCCGCAGAAGCCCTGGATGAAATCCTCGACCTGGATCCGGTCGTCGTGAAGTCGAGGGATTTCGTGGAGTTCATAGCCGGAAACAAGCTGTTGCCAAGTTCCACCCCGTTGGCACATAGGTACGGAGGCCACCAGTTCGGCACTTGGGCGGCTCAGCTTGGCGATGGAAGGGCAATCGTACTAGGCCAATACGTCAACAGGTATCTTCCTTATCAAATACTCATAGTTGCAAAGGTGAATCACAATGGTCAAGTAATTTAGTTCGTCAGTTCCCTATTCTCATCATAATCCTAAAAGTAAAAGTAAAGAACTCCTGCCTTACAGAAAGCCACAATGTTTGGGTGTCGTAAGTCACAACTTTACAATCTTTTTTCAAATTATTCTCAAATAAATGTCCAAGATTGTACTAATGTGGCGAATACGAGTTGGGTACACTCTGAAAAATCTGATGCGAAGATGTCGATGAAGATTTGTTGGTGTGTTAGGGAAATGAGTAGGGGAGACACACCAGTCACCACCGAAGATAACCCAAACTGACTGGCAAAGTTGACAAAGACATGAATAAATTATTCTGAGGAAAAATTAAACAATAACGATTATTTGGATAATCAAACAATCATTGGCTAACGGTCACTAAACACCACACATTTTTAAACGATAATATAGAACAAAATAATCCAAAATGAACAGCCTGCTCTCAGTAAGTTTAACATGAGCTTGAGAATATGAGTTGTGAGCTCACAAATGGTTTTATACATTACAAAAATAAACAAAATAATATACAAATTAGTGATAGCAGTATACATTCAATTAGGGGACCGTGGTAACCGAGTGGTTAAGATGTAAGAATCTCGGCTAGTTGATCCCGGGGTCGTGGATTCCATTCCCACTGTCGCCTCTGTCCTTTTTTTTCTGATACCTAAGGGGAGAGGTGGCCACGATTGAAAAAATTGACACGTCACTCATCAATGTAAGGTCTGCGGTGGGATTGGATCTCAGCGACCCTGAATTTGGTCTCAAACCCCTTCAAAAATGAGCTTCTTCGAGGGACGAACACTGGCTCACAGGGGGCTCAAATTCACAAGCATGTTGCAAGCCTCAAAAATGGAGCCAGGAAGTGCAGTAAGCTGTAATACAGCTGCAATGCTTGGGGAACTCCTCCGGTTCCTGGTATACATTATGTAAAAAAAAAATTATGTATGTATAATATCATTAATCAAATTCAATACCCATAACATACAAATATCATCATCACATCACGCAAAACTTATAACATATAAAACAATCATTACATTCCTCACATCAAATATTTCTACATAGTCTAATTCTTCAACAATTTAGCTTTCTTGTCCCTAATTATCCCTGTCTATATAATCCCAAATAGATAATTAAGCCGAACCATTACCCACGTTTCTCCCATTGTCGGCTCCTTTCACCTCAAAGAAGCCGACTCCTCATATAAAAATGTCTTTCTATCCAGACTTCCTTCATCACCCCTTCAAAATCCAATGTATATAAACAAAAAAAAATCAATATCTCACCAGCTCTCTTTAGCTGGGCACACACTAGGTCGGTGGGTCGGCGCAGTGCAGTGCTATTTAAGCTTGGGCATTTCGCCATCTTCAGTATGTCTGATATATATGAAGACATCCCGCAAACTGTGAAGTAAGATCTCTTGTTCGGTCTGTCAGACACGTTTTCGTTCCAGTAATGGGATTAGAAAGGACCAAACTACTGCTCCATCACCCTGTTTTTATCCTTGATATTTTTAATATTACAAAAATGTAATAAAATATTACAATTAATTAAGGTTTTTAATTGAAATAAAAAAGACAATGGCACGAGCGGGATTCGAACCCACGATCTTCGGATTGATACATCCCTGCTGTACCACTTGAGCTATCGTGACCTCGATCCACTCGGACACCAACTTCCCATCTCAACCGCACCTTTTGAATTTTCCCTCCTTTTTGCCATTTTTCAAATGTCGTGTAATCGGATTGGATTCTCGACGACAAATGAAAAATGGCAAAAAAGAGGGAAAATTCAAAAGGTGCAGTTGAGATGGGAAGTTGGTGTCCGAGTGGATCGAGGTCACGATAGCTCAAGTGGTAGAGCAGCGGCGTATCAAGCCGAAGTTCGTGGGTTCGAATCCCGTTCGTGCCATTGACTTTTTTATCTCAACTAAAAACCTTAATTAATTGTAATGTATTAATTGGTCAAGCGGACTACGAAATTAGTGAATTTAATGTAATAAAATAAATCCAAAAATAAAACTAATCTATTCTGTTTTGGTCACCCACGCTAGGATATGCAGGAATAAGTAGATTTGTTTTATAATAATTGCAGTTTCACTTCAGTGATAAAATAACTCCAATATACAATTTGTGATTGATTAGGAAATTAGTTGGGTTTAGCGAGACAGTCAATTATTTCATTTCCTATAGGAAAGACCAGACATGGGAATTGCAGCTAAAAGGGTCTGGCATGACACCTTACTCACGGGATGGTGATGGAAGGGCAGTTTTGAGATCGTCCATCAGGGAATTTCTCTGTTCAGAAGCGATGCACTACCTAGGTAAGAAGTGATTTGTTTATTTGTGCCGCAAGTTGAGATTTTGTGGCTTTTCAAAATTGTGGAATCTAAACTATGAACTTATGTATTATGACCAATGTCTGAATAAGTCAAATTCATATAAAGTTTTATGCAGAAAGTATTTTCTTGAAAAAAATATACTGTTTGCAAGAATTAAAAAAAAACATAAGCTTATTTTTAAGTGAATTCCAAAAATGTGGTCTTTTCAAGGAATTCCAACATCGCGGGCCGGTGCGATAATCGTGAGCGCTGACCATGTAATAAGAGATTTGTTGTATGACGGCCACCCAAAGTTAGAACCAACTTCCGTCGTTTTAAGGTTGGCGCCATCTTGGTTCAGGATTGGCTCGCTTGAAATCCTCGCCAAATATCAAGAAAACGAGCTGCTTGCTGAGTTACTCAACTTCATTATAAAAGTTGGTCTTTTTTTAAAATAAAAACATATCTTTTAATGAAGTTAAAATATTGAAGATAAGCATGATTGATGTGTAAGGTTTAAAATCTTAGTTATCGTAAGGTATTTTTGCTTAGGTATTCACTTTCAAACTTGTTGCTAAAACAAAAAATAAAATTGTAGTGTCGAGTATGAAATGACCTTAGCAAGTAAATATATGTGCCAAATAACTAAATATTAAGTACACCAATGTATATTACATTTTTTTTTTAATATTTAGGAGTATTTCCCAAATATAGAAGACAACGAAGACAAGTTGTTGAATTTCTTAAAAGCTGTATGTCGAATGACCTCCGACCTTGTCGTAGCTTGGCAAGCAGTCGGTTTCACCCATGGTGTCCTCAACACCGATAACATTAGCTTAATGGGAATTACAATCGACTATGGCCCCTTTGGTTTCATGGAAGCGTACAATCCAATGTATGTGCCCAACCACTCAGATTCAACTGCGAGATACTGTTACGGGAGGCAAATTACCGTAAGTTGGTATAGGATTTTTTCAAAAAGGACTTGCCCATAAAAATGTTGGTATTGCTTTCAGATTACTATATATAATCTGACTATGTTAGCGAGTGCAATAGCACCTCTCCTGAACGGTACACAAATGATGAAAGCAGCAAGAATGGTTCAAGAAGAGGAAAACTACATGAAAACAAAATTGGAGTAAGTTAATGTAAACGGCAATAGCGCGATGGCCGAACAATCATTCGCTTGCTTTCTTCTAAGTGATAAGAGAGTAGTTGGCATAAGCGTTTTTCTACTTATTCCTGTGTAGGGGAAGGTAAAGTTTGAGAATTTAATAAACCAGAGAGTTTGTTCTTCAACATTTATTTTAAAACAATTCTTCTTAATTAATCTAATAAGTTAGCCAAAATAATCTGGGACGAGTCTATTAACAAAAGGACTTAGCCCAAGTCACATTCGCCATGATTAGCGCCCACAGCATCCTCAGCCCCTTTCTGGTATCTCGACTATAGACTTGATGTGATAGGTTGCAACGGCTGGTCCTCTCACTGGCTCTGGCTGGCTGAGTCACCTTGTTGAATCCCAGATGGAGTGCGGCTGCTTCTGTTCTGGATCAACTCCTGTAGTCGACTATTCACTGCCCCTAGGTTCCTAGCGAGTCTTTGGTCTTGACTACAGCTGGGTTTACACCGCGTTAAAATCACTCGCACAACTTTTAAAACTAGTCTTGCATTGTGGATACCTAACCGTAACTGCGAAACTTTTGGCGTGGGGATGTTTCAGGGTGAGCCGACTGGCTGTTTGTTTTTAGTGCGCATCAATGTGTTTTGTGTTGTTTGTTTCTCTCCACATAAACACTTGTCTTGAGTATGAGAATGAACCAGGAGTGCTGCATTTGACTTACTCGAATGTATCACAGCTACAGATTTTTGTGGGGTGCTTCAATTCATCCTAACAAGAACAAGAGAGAGGATGTGTGGAAGGAAATGAGCATCAAAAGGGGACAAAGACAAAAAGTACAATAAAAATTATCGTCATGATAGCATACGCTGTTGCAGCAGTACACCAATGCACAAATTGATAGCTCACCTTGTTTCACCTCTGGGTTGTGAAATGTTTGCCTTGTGGAAATATGCGGTCATTAGGGACCGTTAGTCGAGGATTATCCAGAAATCGTGAGATGCGGTCTGGTGTGATGTAGGTTTCAGAAAAACATTTTCTTTATCATGTCAACGTTTCGATCTTTATTGAGATCATCTTCAGGGCCTGGGATTTACAAACATTGTTTAAAATTAACAAATACATGTAGGATGTGGGAAAAAGTGAATTTATACAATGCAAAAAATATATTTTTTATATTCAATCAAAGTATTTGTTCTCACTCAGTGTTTGTTTTCTGCGTAAGTGTGCCATTCTTGCGTGTCGTGTTAAGAGTGCCAGTGATATTGCTGTTTTGTGTTTATATACGTTGGATTTTGAAGGGGTGGGGGAAGGAAGTCGGTATAGAAAGACATTTTTGTACAAGGAGTCGGCGTCTTTGAGGTGAAAAGAGCCGACGAAGGGAATAAATCTCAATAAAGATCGAAACGTTGGCACGATAAAGAAAATGTTTTTCTGAAACGTATATCACACCAGACCGTATCTTACGATTTCTGAATAACCTTGTGGAAATAGTTAACTCGAAACTGCATTTTGCAAGTGATTCTCACGTTTAGTTGCACGAGTGATTTTTTCATGCAATGAAAACCAGCTTAAGGACAGTTTTGCCCGACGTTTCCAAATCATCCCTTTTTATACAAGTTCTCTACCGAAATAGGGGGGTTGAAAAGAAAATAAGTAAGGGGAGTTACCATGTTGCGGGGACTGGTGAAGACCAGGTTGGTGCAACCCCAATTTATGATGTCCGACATTGCTACATATTTTTGGCCTTGTGACAACCCTTCAGCACTAAATAATACGACGTTAGTTATTTATTTGATTGGTTGTCCGACAATTGCAACTTTATGTTATCCAGGTTCCTGGCGTCCCTTGGCTCCCATCTGGGTCTGCAACATTCTTCAATGTTCTTATTTATTTGACCAAAATTTATTACAATCCTAGCTGGATTTGCAATAATAAATGACACACCTTATTTTTCTCGTTATTTATTTGGGTTATTCGGTCATGTTTCTACTTCCTCCAGGGTTTTGATAACTTCCTTTCTAGATTCCATCTACAAATGACCCAGTTCTACATTATTTTAATATATTTTGTAAATGTTTACTTATAATTTCCCAGGGAAAAATTTTCTCAGAAGCTTGGCTTGCACAAATCATCACCAGAGTTGACCACCATGCTCATTAAAATGCTCGAAGAGACCCAGGCTGATTTTGTCATGACTTTTAGAGAATTGAGCGAATATCCAATCGACAAGTTAAAAAAGCCAGCTGCCAGTCTATGGGCACTACAACAACTCTCAAGGCACGCGTCGTATCCCAAATTTATTGAAATGTACCAGAAGCGTCTGGTTGAATTAGGTATCTGATGCCAAACATCATCGAATTTCGGTCTGTGCTAATTTCTAATTTTAATCAAGGCATAACCGATACTCAAAGGATGGAAGACATGCGCAGGGTCAATCCTTGCTACACTTTGAGAAATTGGATGGCAGAAGAAGCAATTAAGGCAGCACACTCTGGAGACTTTTCACAGGTAGTCTAAGCCATAAAGTTCAAATAGGACTATTAAATTGTTTGTTCGTTTCAAATCATTTTACTATGTATATCCCCAGGTATGTTTGTTTATTTTCATTTTTTAAATATGGTGGGGGGGGGAAACTGATACACATATAGATCAGGTCTTTGAAAGTGCATGGTAAGATAAAAAAGGATGCCCCTCGAGGGTTCGAGCAGCCCTGCATTCGAACCTGACAAACTTACAAAATTCACTAATTTCGAGGTCCACTTGACCAATTAATATATTACGATTAATTAAGGTTTTTAGTTGAGATAAAAAAGTCAATGGCACGAGCAGGATTCGAACCCACGATCTTCGGCTAGATACGCCGCTGCTCTACCACTTGAGCTATCGTGACCTCGATCCACTCGGACACCAACTTCCTATCTCAACCCCACCTTTTGAGTTTTCCCTCCTTTTTGCCATTTTTCAACTCATTTCATTTGTCGCCGAGAATCCAATTCGATTACACAACATTTGAAAAATGGCAAAAAGGAGGGAAAACTCAAAAGGTGGGGTGGAGATAGGAAGTTGGTGTCCGAGTGGATCGAGGTCACGATAGCTCACGTGGTAGAGCAGCGGCGTATCTAGCCGAAGATCGTGGGTTCGAATCCTGCTCGTGCCATTGACTTTTTTATCTCAACTAAAAACCTTAATTAATATTAATTTCAATATTAACCCTTTATTTATGTATTTTTTTAAATTCCAAGGTGGACCTTTTGCTGAGAATTTTGAAAAATCCTTTTACAAGGCAGGAAGAGGCTGAGGCAAAAGGGTACGGGGCCAAACCTCCATCTTGGTCTAGAACGCTCTGTTTGAGCTGTTCAAGTTAATGTCAATACATTCCACATTGGTGTCGAGGTTAGTTGTAAAAATGATAATTTTACCTGAACATATTTAATTAATAAGTTACCAAATTTTAATATTAGCTGTACAATCTTTTTCAAAATGGACATTTTTGTGATATAACAACCTTTATTATTAAAATTTGAGGATTGGCTAATTAATATTTTAATTTTAAATTAACGCTAATTAATTGTTGAACATTATTTATTATGGGATTTTTTTTATTACAATTTATTTCTTATTCCATCAACCAACATTAAATTATTATGTTTTTGTGTTAAAACCTCAAAAATATTAAACGATGACGCTGAATAAAAAACAACAACCAATCCTAAATGGTCGTTTTTCAAACTGTTTAGACATTTCTTAATTAAAAATACTTTCAATTGAGAAAAAAAGTTATTTTTTAACCTGCTTACCAAGGTAGTGTACTTTGTAATTCATATCAAGCAAATCACTTATTTGTTTGTTAATACAAAATGTATAATTTATTATTATTGTTTTAGATCAAATATTTTTCTAAATAATCCTTGTGATAAAGTAAAATTAAAAGAAAAAGGTTTAAGTGTTGATATAAACATTTTAAATTGAATAATTGTTGAAAGTTGATATTGGCATATTGTTAGTTTTCCATGTCATATTAATAAAGTTTATTTTTCCATTTTGACTTGTTTTCATTATTTCTTCTAGTTTGCCATCTATCTGCGAGGATTATGTGGACCTAAATTGAAATTATTATACTAAAAAGTTATAATAAAAATTTTATTTAGCCCTGTTATTGTTTTCTGTATAATAAAATAATAGAATTGACTCAAAATAGAGTCGATCATGGTGTTAAAATTGTGGATACATTAATTTTTCCATCTGCAGATGATGAAAGGCAAGTCGAACATTGATTGGCTGTTGACCAGTCACAAGTCGTAAGAGGGCTTTTATGCCCTTCGAGGGATAACATCGCTTGAAGGCAACTGTCAGTAACCTGCACATTCATTTTGTTGAATTGCGTAAAGAAATGCTTATTTAATTTATTTATATCTATTTACCTGGTAAATGTTAGCTCCAATATTGCCGCATGCAGTCAAAACAAGTTTTCCGTTTTGATGTAGGGTAAAGCCTTGGGTTCCGTGTGATGTCTGACAGTTGGGAAGAGTAACTCTAAAAGTCGCTTCACCATTGTGTGCCAAATTGTGTTTGTTAAGCTGAAGAAAAAAAATTTTTCAGTCTCAAATTGAAATTTATTATTTTGTAAATCGTTTACCTTGTGGTCGGCGCCAAGGGTGTAGCAGAAATTGTGATCCGGTGTGATGTGTATTGTGCTTACGCATCCTTCATGTGCTCCCCAAGACTCGACGCACTCTCCGTTCCTTAGATCGAGTGCCCGAACCGAACCGTCCGAACAGCCGACTATCAAAAGGCTGCCGTTGTGGTTGAACTGGCAGCAATTCGCAGACAAGCTGGTTGTTCCGTTACCAAGGGTGAATGATTGCTATTAAAGTAAAAACCTTTATTTGATTTTGTTTTATTTTTAATAGTTTAATAGTTCGAATATACAACTTACTTCAACCTTCTTTGTCTTTATATCATAAAACAGTAATTTGCCTGTCATTTTGTTAAAATTAATAGCAGAACAGGCAACGCTGCACTCCGTGGGGCTACAGCAAAGACTTAAGATTCTAGAAAAAAAAAGGAAGATTTACTTTTGAGGCCAATGGGGAGATGAAACCTGTAATTTGGCCTTTTTCCAATCTTTATAGTCTGCCTGTATTTTAGTCAGGGATATAAGCAGGGTGAGGTACTGAAAACCATATCGATTGTTCTAATGCAAGATATTTCAGCAGTTTCTAGTATCTTTGTGCTTGTTTTTTAATTAACTGGTAATTAAACTGAAAATTAGTTAATAAGAGAAGTGCTCACAAAGATTTGTGGCACAAAGTTCATAAACTTATTAAAAAGGTCCAACTATAAAGAAACAGCACTGATCACTATTAAAGAGAGTGAGAAGGGGAACAGCATTTGACAGGTAAGGGAGACAAGGAGAAATGTAAAAAATCAGCACTGCAGCATTTTATTATGTTCATTGGTAGGTCAAGGACAGGTGAGGCAAACGGTCCTGCTCTACTAGAGTGAGAAGCTGAGCTGACAGACTAAAACAGCAAGGGTTGGTGGACCAAATTGAAAACAAGATCGTGAATGCAGAATTTCATTATTTTCAGTAGTACGTCAGGGATATAATAGGGTGAGGCATGGACATACTCATTTCTTGAGATAGTGATGAATATATATTATTACGATTAATTAAAGTTTTTGTTGAGAAAAAAAAGTCAATGGCACGAGCGGGATTCCAACCCACGATCTTCGGCTTGATTCTCCGCTGCTCTACCACTTGAGCTATTGTGACCTCGATTCCACCTTTTGAATTTTCCCTCCTTTTTGCCATTTTTCGAATCCCGCTTGTGCCATTGACTTTTTTATCTCAACTAAAAACCTTAATTAATTGTAATATATTAATTGGTCAAGCGGACCACAAAATTAGTGAATATATATTATGTTATAATGGGTGTGAAAAGAGATCCGAACTTGGGGGAGCCTATTTTGCTGCTTTCGTCCACCAGACACATTCAACAACGAGATGCTGAAACATGACGGACAGGCCAAAACAGTGAGATTGGACAAAAATGATCAGAAATGACCAAATTCTAAAGTATATGTAGTCTAAAATTTATCATAATATAGTTCAAACTCTGAAGGTAGACTTGATTCTAATATATATAAATATTTGTATTGTTAGTATAGAAAACCATAAAAATTACTTTGTATTTGTAAGGGGACTAGAGTCTTCGTTGCCTGTTTCCCAAATTGTTTTATTTTCCCTGCTGTCGTGAAGCCTTAGGATGCCATCCTGACTGCCACTGACGAAATACCTTTCGTTTTTTGTCAACCAGCTCAAAGAAGTAAAGCCGGATTTGTACTCTAACGTGGAATGTACCCTGCAGGCAGAAAGTGTAATTGTAATGCAGGCAAGGAAGAAAGGAAAAAAAATCCGACTTAATCTGAGACTCCGCCGACCACAGTTTAATAATCCCGTCGCTGTCGCAGCTGGCTATCATATTTCCCAAGGCGTTGAATTTGCACTGGGTGACAGCGGCTTTGTGCTCCGTCATTTTTTCCTAAAACGCAAAACTTTTGAGGTCTTGCGGCCGCAGGGAATATATCGGGTTTACCTGGCTCAAAAGTAAAAACGTGTCTTTGCGATTTCCTCTTTTGTCGACATTTTCAACAGAAACGTCTCTGTTGCTTCTCCTCGGCCGTGAATCAAGCGACAGAGACCTTTTTGGCACAGAAGTGCTACAGTACATAAAGATGTAACATGTTTTTATAAAAAGATCATATTCAAAATATTCAATACTAAGATGTAATTCATGTATATTTCTCAGCGAATACTGAAATCATTTTTGTTTAAACCATGATTGTTGGCTCATTGCACTTTTTGCTTGGAAATTCCTACCAAAATTCACAGCATTAACCCATGTAAAATATAAATTTTCTGACCTGCTTTGTTTTATCCATCCACCTTGTGAGACATGCCTTTTGCTTGAGTGATGCTTTTTTACTCCAAATTGGTCATCTGAATAATAAGTTTCTCATTAGAGACATTTACTTGCTAGTTTTTTGGTTTTTGTTTTCAGAAGTTAGTAATAAAATTATCAGCAGTGCCAATTAAATGGTTAAATGATATAGTTATAAGAAATTATATGGAAAAGGGTATTTCATGCCCTTCTTTTTCACGTTTTGAATGAATTTATTAAATTATAAAAAAAAAATGTTTTGAACTGGCAGGAAATAGGCCACTTACTGGGTATGTCTGCAGGGTCTACACTCTGTGTTTATTTATAGACCCAGAGTGTCGATTCAACATGGGTTAACTGACTCAGACCAACACCCACCATCAATAATAAAGTAGATAAAAAAAATAATAAAAATAAAAAACCACTAAAATTGTACAAGTGAAAACAATAATCCCTAACTCCACAAAATGTATCTCGTCCATAACCGTAACTTTACTTAACCTAACCAACTCATATATTTTATAAGGCAAAATCGACGCTCTGTCTTAAAATAAAATGCCTGCATACTTATATTGCCTTAGAATTTAATGGACTGAAAAAAATCCTCAAACTTCTTCACATGATAACAATTATCTTAACCTAATCTCTAATTAACACATCCCTAACCCTAACTAACCTAACCAGTCCCTCACCCTAATCTAACATAATCCATCCTTAACCAAACCATCCTATGCTCACTCCCCTGCAACACAAAATCGATGCTCTGCCTTAAAATAAAATGTCTGAATACTTATACTGCCTTCGATTTTAATGGATTGAAAAAAAAAAAAAAAATCAAAATTGTTCATGTGTAATAATTATCCCTAATCTTAACCTATTCCTAACCCAACCTACCTAACTAGTCCCTAATCATAACCAAATACTAACCGTACTTAACTTAACCAGAACCTAACCTTACTTAACCAAACCATCCTATGCACACTCTTTACTAACGGAAAATCGATGCTCTGCCTTAAAATGAAATGGTTGAATTTCTGTAGCTTTAGAAAAATGAATGGAAAAAACACTAAAATCCAACTCATCCCTTACCATAACCTTACTTAATCTAACCAACCCTTGTAGACTATACAGTAATGCGTAATCGATTCTCTGCCTTAAAATAAAATGTCTGCATACTTATACTGCTTTATAATTTAATGTTTTGAAAAAACCAACCCTCAAAATTTTCAAGTGATAACAATTATCCCTAATCCTAACCCATCCCTAACCAGTCTTTAATTCTAACCTAACATAACCCATCCCTAACCAAACCATCCCAAGTATTCTCCAGTAACATAAACTCGATGCTCTGCCTTGTAATAAAATGGTTGCATTTCTATTGCATTAGAAAAAAATGGATTGAAGAAAACTCTAAACTTTATAATGTATAAGTATAATCCCTAACCATATCCCTACATTATCTAGCTTAACCTGACCTGTCCTAACCTAACCCCATACACATTCTGGGAATGGGAAATTAATGATGCGAATTTTTTTTTTAACTAGCCCAAAATCACATGCATGTTAATATTGATCATTGTCAAATGATCCTCACTATTTTATATTTAATTTATATTTTTTTTATCATTAGTTCAGCCAGTCACTGTGATAGTTATGTTATAATTCTTTTTCCTATGATATTTCAGATTTATTGTTTTATTCTACACAAATTTCTCTTTGTAATGTTTATTTTACATTATTTAGTATCGTGGCATCTGAGAGTTTAATTATAGTAAAAGTTAGCAACACAATACTGTGTTGAAAGACACAAATTATCCACTTTTTTAAAAACCAAAAACACATCAATTTTACACCATAACCACTGTGCAAACGAGTAAAATGTATGGATTGCTTTGAATAGAACTTACAATAGAGTAAAAAGAAAAGAAAATGAGGTGAAATATAATAATCACTAAAATTCAAATATAAAAAAAGTTGATTAACATTACTTTATTGACAAAAGGCACTTGTACATGCATAAAAAAATATATACATAAACTAAATTAAAAAATAAAGGAACAAATACAAATATTTGAGATTCTTCTTCAGTGTCTGTTACCTTGTGGTTGCGGTTTCCTTCCCATGATCGGGCTAGTCGGAATCCCCCCACCAATTGTACGGATCAAATTTTTCAAAGATTTCGGATGGTTTTCATTATTCGAAGCTGGATTTTCTCTACAATTACAATAATGATAATAACAAAGGTTGTAATTTAATAAAATGTAAACATACTGTGCTATGATATAAAAATCGTCCATGATGTCCATCGGCGGAACGACCTCCGGTACAATGTTCGCGCACTGGCTCAGGGTAGCCAACTTGTGTTTGAGTGCATCATTTTCCTCTTGGAGCCGACGGAGTTTCGTTGCCTCCTCTTCATAACTAGAAAGCGCAGGCTGTGGCATGACCTGGATAAAAAGTGAAGTTTACAATTAAAAGCTCTAAGCTAACCCATCCCTATTCCTAACCTAATCTAACCCATCCCTTAATTATTATTAAGGGTTCCACAATTCCAACCCCCAAACCTTATTTAAAAAAGTCCCTAATCCTAATCTTATCTAACCTAACAAACCCATGCATATCCTCCAGTACACAAAATCGATGCGCTGTCGATAACTTTAAAATGTCTACATCTTTTTACATATTTCCTTAGAAAAAAAAAGAAAAGACAAAAATGGATTGAAAAACAAATTATTCATGTGGTAAAAATAATCCCTAACCCCACATAATTTAACCTAACCTAACTTATCTCAACTTAACCTAATTCCACCCATCTCTAATTCTAACTTTCCCACTGAAATTCACAATAAAAAGCTTACTTGATAAATAATTGCTAGAAAGTTGTGGAGTGAAACGAGAAATGTGTCTTGCCACTGTTTCGTAAAATGGACGGCAAACGCCCCATGTTCTTCGGGTTTTTCAATATAAGGCAGCACTGGGAGAAAAAACAAAAAATAAGTAAATAAAATAATAAAAATAACACAAGTTTATAATGTTTAATACAAATAACTTACTGAACCATTCCTTCCACTCCGGCTGCCCTTGAAGTTCTGGGGTCATTTTAGTAAAAAACTCGTTCACTTTGTCAGGATTTTTACTCGAAATTGCATTGACTAGGTAGTACTTGTGAAGCGATATTTCTAATTTTCTCAAACCTAACAATAATGTATAATTAAAATAAAAAATAAAATGAAATAAAATTCAAAACAGTTAAACTATTTTGTCATATATTGCTGACTCATACCTGGCGTAAATTCATGATCCAACTTTGAGAATATTTTTTGATCAAAATGTGACCAAAGGGCTCTCAGAGAATTTAAATCGCAATTGTTTATAAGAAGCAGAAACTGATCGACAATTTTGTCTACCTAAAAAGCAAATACAATTTATTAGTATTTTATCTATTCTCTTCATTATATAAGAATTTTTGTTCATGTTGTAAGTTTAATTTTAAGCTAATATATTAACAGAATAAACATTCAGCCATTTTTATTGTATTTGCTAAAATAGGATATTTAAATTCTTTTATGCCATTCTGTTTAGAGCACTACTGCAACACTCTAATTGTGTATTTTTTAAATTTTAATAACTTAAACCTGACATGTGATCTTTTAAAAAGGCCTTGGGCCACATGACACAGTACAACAAACATAAAAAATCTTAAAAATTAATGCTTTAGTATTAGATACAAGCAAAAGTGTAGTAACAGGGCAAATGGGGCGAGCATGTTTCAAAATATTACTCCCTGCTATTATGAAATGTGATCCGTGTACATTATGCCTATTTACAACGTCAAGAGCGATTATTTTCAGCGACAAGAAATTGGTAAGCGTTTCTGCACTATTGCTGTTACATGTAAAACGAGTAAAAATATTTTGATTGAGTCTAAAATTTTTAGCATTGTATAAATTCATTTTTCACATCCTACTGTATTTCTATTATTTAGGCAATGTAAAACAAACAATCTCAGGCCCTGAAGATGATAAAGACCGAAACATTGGCACAAAAAAGCAAATGTTTTTCTAAACCTACATCACACTAGACTGCATCTCACAATCTCTAAACAATGAACTATGCAATATTATAATTTTTCATTAAATATGCCACTTAAAAAAAAAAAAAAAAATAGTGTATCATTATTAAAAATTTCCAAACTTGCAAAGAATGTAAACATTTATAATTTCAAAAATTATATAAGATATTTTAAAGCCAAGATTTAATTTTTTCATACTACACGTTTATTCTGTATTAAGGTTGTTCATTATGCTTTTGTAAAGATATATACTGTTTATTTCCTGAGGATCTCAAAAAAGAAAAAAAAATTGGCAGGAATGTACCAATATATTATTTTTTATTATAAATTTATATGTAATGTACATTATTGCAAATAAGTTTTCTCTGTTTTGACCTCTTCCGAAGATCCTCTGAAAAGACTTCAAATAAAGATTTATCATTATTATAAGAAATATCACACTTTCCAAGGTATGTTTATATGCAATAGGGGTTCCTCAACAGACCTTTTTACCTTGCAGTGGACAAAAGAATTGCATTCTGCAACAACACACTCAAAACTTATAAAAAAGTGCTGGAGTACTCAACATTCCAACACCACACTGTACTAATTTAAATGTGGTTCAACTGATGCTCTCAACATTCAGCAATTGGAACAAACTACATATTCACATTTATCCATTCAAATTGATACATTTAACATAAGGTCATTGTGGTGTCCATTCTTGTTAGGTGGCATTCTTACTAGCTCAATCTTTTTTTACATGCTGGATACATTATACTTTGTATATATTATTTCTAAGTGAGATGATTATGATGTTTACGCTCTAACTAGGATATTTATGGTTTTTTAGGTAATGCTTGTGTTTTATATAAGAAAAGCCACACATCACACCAGACCACATCTCACGGTCTCTAAATAATCAACTGTGCAATATTATAATTTTTCATTAAATATGGCACTTTTTTTTTTAAATAAAGAGATCATTTACATATAAACATACGTACATTCTTGCAAATAAAGATTTATTATTATTATAAGAAATGTCACACTTCCCAAGGTGTGTTTATAGGCAATAGGGGTTCCTCAACCGACCTGTATATCTTGCAGTTGGAAAGAATTGTATTCTTTATCAACACACCAAAAACTAAAAAAAAAGGGAAAAAATGTTGGAGTTCTCAACATTCCAACACCACATTACTAGTTTAAATGTGGTTCAACGGCTACTCTCAACATTCAGCAATTGGAACATACTACACATTCTCACTTATTCATTCAAATTGATACATTTAAGTTCATTGTGGTGTCCATTCTTGTTAGGTGGCATTCTTACTAGCTCAACCTTTTTTTACATGCTGGATACATTACACTTTGTATATATTATTTCTAAGTGAGATGATTATGATGTTTACGCTCTAACTAGGATATTTATGGTTTTTTAGGTAATGCTTGTGTTTTATATAAGAAAAGCCACACATCACACCAGACCACATCTCACGGTCTCTAAATAATCAACTATGCAATATTATAATTTTTCATTAAATATGGCACTTTTTTTTAAATAAAGAGATCATTAGTCAAAACTTTAAAAACTACAAATAAGGTGAAACATTTATAATTTCAAAAATTTTAAATTGGAGTTAAGGCCAAGATGTAATTTATGTGTCTTTTTTTATACTACATGTTTATTCTGTATTATGTTTGTTTTTTATTATGCTTTTGTAAAGGTATATTCTGTTCATTAAAACTTCTGCTCTCTAGTTCAAGCTTTGCTTTTTGACAGCAGGCAGGGATGTACCAAAATATTATTTTTTGTTGTAAATTTGTATGTAATGTACATTCTTGCAAATAAAGATTTATTATTATTATAAGAAATGTCACACTTTCCAAGGTGTGTTTATAGGCAATAGGGGTTCCTCAACCGACCTGTATATCTTGCAGTGGGAAAGAATTGTATTCTTTATCAACACACCAAAAACTTTAAAAAAAAGGGAAAAAATGTTGGAGTTCTCAACATTCCAACACCACATTACTAGTTTAAATGTGGTTCAACTGCTACTCTCAACATTCAGCAATTGGAACATACTACACATTCTCACTTATTCATTCAAATTGATACATTTAAGTTCATTGTGGTGTCCATTCTTATTAGGTGGCATTCTTACTAGCTCAACCTTTTTTTACATGCTGGATACATTACACTTTGTATATATTATTTCTAAGTGAGATGATTATGATGTTTACTTTCTAACTACAATATTTATGGTTTTTTAATGTGTTTTTTTAGGTAATGCTTGTGTGTTATATAAGAAAATTCGGACGTTTGTGACTGGCGCTTACCCTGAATCCCCTGTCCTTGTCGACTTTAAGCTCTGCATCGAAGGACTTTAAAGTTATGGTGAAGCCCCTGAACAGGAGATACTCCCTGACTAAGTCGTCCAAGTGCGTGAAGTGCGACATTTTCACTATTTTCAGTTCATTTTGTTTCCGTCCGATTCGTCTCGGTTGAGCAAGAATCCGGGGACCGGGACGATCGAAAGTCAGGAATTGACAGTCGACAGTGGAAGGGAATTGATAAAGTGGGCGATCAATTATCAAACGGGAGGTTACAGTCTGGTTACGATTTTGAGGTTATTCCAGACGGAAGATGAGCTTTGCAGTCAATCTTGTGAGAAAAACTCTTCCAAGGGGATATCTTCAAGCGGGGATTCACACGACAGGATGCAAACAACTTTTCTGGGAGAAGGATATGAAAGGAGGATACGGGAAACCTTCGAAAGTCGGCTGGGCCCAAATTGTGAAAGAGGGTTTCAAAGAATTGAAAACTGAATTCAAGCTCTTCACCCAGGAAGTAAAGGAGAAGTTTGTGGCCGACCCAATCCTGGCTTACCCTCCAGGTATGTCTTCAATTTTAACATACGGTTTTTTTCATATAAAATTTCTTCTTGTATTCTGTGGGGCGATGAAACTTGAGACCAGTATTGAGATTACGAGCTGATGCTGCAATTGTTTGCAATACTCATTAAAATGAACAATTTTTTTTATAATGAACATGTCCTGCTCTTGCTGGGTGTGTTCCAATTTTCCAATTTGCCAGTGTTATGCTTAGATCTGAAAATAGGTCTGTGATGATCACCAAAGAAGATATACTTAATAAAATAAATAACTCAGTCAATAATGTCTGAAAAGGCTCTTTTACATTTGTCCCTTTGGAAGATCATCTTGGATGAATCATCCAAAGTGATAAATGTAAACCGCAATTCATCTTCGATTCCCCCAGAGTGAACAATGAAAGAAGTTGACCCCTACTAACTTTTGAAGAAAGAGTCGTTCCTCCAGCTGGTGTTTCATCTGAAGAGAAGGCGCAGTGAGAAATCTAAACATCCCTCCTCACATTCACTCTTTTGTTTCACCTTTCGCCAGTCAAACCATGTCTTCTAGTGAGAACATTCCTCTTTATTATAAAGTTTTCGCGTCCTAGTTTTATTTTATTGCAGTGATATTTAAGTGGCAAGTCAGACATACAATGTTTCTTGAAATATACCAGCAGTACGAGTGCTTGTGGAATACCAGTTGCAGCAATTATAGTAAATCAAATGCAAGGAAAAAAGCATAATCCCACACGAGTTTACAGTTCGATAAGTGCTCTCTCCGCAACAGGCAGGCTCAAGAAGATGGTTTTCACTTTTTCGTAGAATGCCCAGTTTTGCCTTGCAAAGAGAGCAACTAATCAGTTTTTTATTTCAATTATTAAATGTTTATTATATATATATATAAGAAACACCCTGATTATTTATATGTGCATAAGTGTATGTAAATATTTTATTTTACTTATATAGTTTTTTTCTTTTTTGTTTATTTCTTGAGAACAGATTTTTAGACCTGTTTTCATTGTTTATTAAAAATTTATAGTACGACTCCAACAATGCCGTTATGTGCAGTTTTTTCTCTGTATTGTTTATGTAGTAAAGTACTTTTTTCATTCATTCATTTATATTAGTAATTTCAGGTGTTCCCTAGGGTAGGCATTTGTTCCCTCTTTTATTCAAATTATTTATAAATGATTTACCTTCTGTATTAAATTATAGTAATAATAATAATAAAAAAAAAAGATTTCAGCAAAAAAGAAGGGTTTAAATCTTTTTATTGTAGCTTGTCCGACCAATATTAGAATATAACAGTGTTGTATGGTCGCCAAGCTACACAGTCTAGAAATTCCTTCAGAAAAATAAATTCCTTCACTATACAGCTTATATAATCAAATTTGTTAGAACCCGCTCAAATACAACCAAATTTGAAAGAAAAAGGGTCTGCTGTCACTTGAAAACAGAAGAATGTATCTAGATACGTTATTTTTGTTATTAGTAAATGGTATGATAGATTTTATGGAATGTATAAACTTTAATGTTCCTAGGCTCAATTTGAGAAATGGTGATTCATGTTATACAAATATGGCTGTGACAAACTATATGAAACATAGCCCCTGTAACCATTTAATGACAGAAGGGAATTTGTTATGTTTTGACTGGTATTTTGACAGCATATCTAAACTAAAAAAAGTTATTGCAAATTACATGAAGTTAATTCGTTTAGTGAATAAAAGTATAAAATGTATAATAGTGGGATGTTACTGTGCATAAATAATTAAATAAATTATGTCATAATTAAATTGGATCTGTTTTGACATTAGTTTCTGCAATGGCCCTTTAATGAATGTTTTCGCATGCCTCTGTCCTGAGATGTATTATCTTGGAACCAAGGATTGATTTTTAATCAATTGGCTCGTGGATTCACGTTTTTGGATATTTGGTCTGCCACAAAGACTGGTTTAGGTCCAAAAGGTGAAGCATCCTTCAAAATGATTGGAAATGGCCAAATTAAAGCTTTCATTACCCATGCAAACCTCACGAGGACATGTGACTATTTAAAACTGAGTTTCAGGTATCTTGGATAGCCAAAGTTAATTGCTTGAGATGTCAATGTAATGGAATGGTGTAGCTTTTAGAGATAAATATATTAATACAATTATTGATCCAATTTTTCAAGAAGTTATCAGTTTCTGTTTAGTTTAATTGGGTGATTTATTAGATGATTAATCTTTTTTAATATATTTTTAAACATTTTTATATTGCTTCAACAATTGTTTTGTTCAGAAAATACCTAACAAACAAACAATTTTAAGGGCATATTCTTAATTCTTTGTATTTTATGTGATGTTTTACCTGCTCAATTGTAATTTGAATTAATATTTATTGCATTGTAGTATTATTTATTTATTGTATGGCTCAAATTCTTACATACATACAGACATGTGCTGAGTTGAGCTCTTTCGCTTTTCATAGTCCACCGGCAATTTCAGCGTTTACTATTTACAGTAAACTGTTGGCAAACTCGAGAAGTGTTGGCAGTTTGGGGTCAGACCTCAGTCTTATTGTCCAGCTACTGAGGTCGGAGCCAGTAAATTCATCAACCAAAATGCAGTTCCAAACCCATTGATACTTATGTTCATTCATAAATACATTCACTAAAATTTACACAACATTTATTCAATTAGGGCAATGGGAGTACTCAGTATTCCTCCGCCACCCTTTACACAAATTATACAACTAACCTAATTGAGGGTCAATAGGATACTTGATATTCCGCCATAGACCCTTTCACATCACACAGTCACGCTAATAAATACGTGCATGGTGTTTAGTGACCGTTAGTTGATGATTATTTTGAGATCGTGAGATGATCTTCACACCAAATCGCATCTCACGATCTCCAAATAATCAGCTAATAAATACAATCACCCTCAACACCACCTTTACACAAATTATTCAACTAACCTAATTGATGGACCATAGGATACTCGATATTGCGCCATCCACCCTTTCACATCACACATTTACGCTAATAAATACAGTCATTATAACATTATAAATTTTTTAGGTGTCGTTGACAAAATCTGGACAATTAGAGAACAAAATGATCTAGACACTTGGATTACAACTTGTGATTCTGACCATGGGGAAGGGTTCAGCTCTTGCAGTTTGATTCTCAATAACGGGCATGGTTTGTTTTCTGGTAACCTCAGCACAGACTTTCCGAAAGACGGTAAAATCAAAAGGTCTGGCTACTGCACAGTCAGAACAAAAAGAATGAGGGTGTGTTAAGCATCATAATTTATTCAAATTTGCGATTATTTCAAACATTTTTTTATTTTAGAAGTCTTTTAAAAGAGATGCTTATCTTGATTGGAACCCTTATAATCACCTTGTATTGAGAGTTAGAGGTGATGGGAGATCGTACATGCTAAATATATCAACTTGCGGCATCTTTGATCAGATGTGGAATGATGTATATCACTATATACTATTCACCAGAGGCGGTCCTTACTGGCAAATAGTAAAAGTAAGTAAACATCATAAACAAAAGTTTATGATTTAAGTTTAAAAGTTCAAAAGTTTATGTTTTAACAAAAGTTAAAATTAATTTTTATTGTAGATTCCCTTTTCCAAGTTTTTTCTGTCAAGTAAAGGAAGAATACAAGACATCCAGTCTGAAATGCCTCTTGGAAATATAAGCCACTTTGGCATCACAGCTGCTGACAAGGTGAACGGACCTTTTTCGTTAGAAATCGATTATATCGGTCTTGAGAATGTACCCTCTCACGAGGAAACGACAGCCTACGAAATGTATAAGACTTACAAAAACATCGCTGCAAATTAGTTTTCCTATTGAACAAAATGTGAATAGTGTCACAAGTTTTACAATGTAAATAAATACCATTGTTGTATGTTGAACGTTGTACTTTTTTTCCCAGTAGGAAAGTAAACTGTTATGGCTTAGCTTTTATAAAGTTATTGATATTCAATGAGTTATTGTGGTCTTAAAGGTGATTGCGGTCTGATGTCCTAAGTAGACTGGAGGAAAGAGCTTTTTACAAGGAGCGAAAGTAATGTTGGTGGGCGGTATGTTTACGCCAGAGAGAAATTGTTTTGTTTATATTTTAGCGTAACCATGGCGACGGTAAACAAAACAGGCCAAGGGGATTCAGCGGGAATCAGTGTAGGAGAACTTGAGCAGTTTTGAGTTGGACATGGTAATCGAATTGGTGAGATACAATGCCCGAATAAGAATTTGAGTCCTTTTTTTCGCCCGCTCATCGTTGCGAATTCACGACGTCTGCATGCTTCGCACGCACATCATCTCGCCGGTTTAACCACATGTCAGACCTTTCCTTTCGGCCTGCTCATGCCACCCGAGAAAACATTTCTCCTTATTCTGTTGACTCTAGTGAAGCTGATTTAAAACATAAGTTTTTATTTTAATTTATTAATGGTTAATTTCCAGTAATAATTCTGTCATTATTTTCTTTACTTTATCGACCCTTGCCAGGTCACTTTATTGTCCAATATATGTATAACTAAGTTAATTGTGCCTAGTTTAATTTAATTTGTCATCTTTCTCCTACATCGCTTCACACTTCGTCAGGGAATCAACGTGAAGGCGCGGGGTTAAATTTTATTCTTTCCTTTTTACACCAAGCTTCTAGTTGGAGGTTTGGAGTAGAAACGAACAGGATCGAAGTTAATAGAGAGAATTGCTGTATCATCTGCAAATTTGAATGTGATGCTTTGAGAATGTAATGGAATGCCAGCTGTGTACACCTGGTATAGTGTGAAGGCCAGAACGCTACTCTGTGAAATATCAACATTGACAGGAATATCAACATTAATAAGAAAAACCAGTTTGTAAGGAAACTGGAAAGTGTATTATAAGATAGAAGGTTGTACGTTTTTACCCTTTATCATGACTACCCGGGTGTCAAACTCGAACAAAGGCTTTGCTTACGTCAAGAAAGGCCCTCAGAACAGTACTGTTCAATGTCAAGGGGGGAAATCACGTCTACCAAGCAGCTGTGACTCTAGCTGGAATAATACCTATAGACCTGAAAATAGCAAAATAGCTAAAAACTATGAAGCTAAGGGGTGACAAGCCCACCTCGCCATTAAACGAAGTAGAAAAGCCCAAAAAGACTGGGCTCCTCCAACTGAGGCAGAAAATGTCACAATCTGTAGACTGGTTAAAAATTTGATTCCATAAATGAGAATTATGATTATGGTTTCACTGATGGTAGCAAAATTACCAATATGGTTGGATGCGCCTTCTTAATTACACAAAAAAAGGAATCGTGACAACTTCAAAGTATAGACTTGCAGCGTGGTGTTCCAACAACCAAGCCGAACTCCTGGCCAGTTTGAGAGCACTAGAGTGGTTCCTAGAAAACGAAAAGGGAGGTGCAAAAAAAAACGATAATTCTTCATACGGATAGTGCAGTCTCCATCTCAATGGTTCAAGACCTCAGAAACCATCATAAATTAGTTGAAGAAATCAGGAAAAAAGTAAAAATATTGCGACATGATTTCGGTTGGAACATTATAATTTGTTGGGTCAAGGCACATGCCGGTGAAGTGTGGAATGACATGGCAGATCTCACCCCAAGAGAGGCAGCAAAGGATGAGGAAAGACCCATATGTTTTGGTGAAGATCCTGTATCCTACGTCAAAAATCGTACTGACGAGGAGAACATAAAAACGTGGGAAGAATGGAACCAATGTTGCAAAAATAACTAAACGCTATTTTCCGACTATAAATTTCTCGCCTTCGACTAGATTTAAAGCATTCCTTCACATCCACAATGGCCACGACAAACCATGGTAAAAATAGATCATATCTTGCAAGATTTAATATAAGTAAGTAATCCTGCATGCCCTTGTGGCTACAATAACCAAACCTGGAGTCACATAATAACAGAATGTTGGACATTCGACATAGAAAGATCTATTTTGATACGATATTTGTTTCAAAATAGTGGAACTTGGCCAGAGAACTGAAGAAGAACTAAAAGATTCGTTGTTTTTTAAATTTTTTTAAAAATTAATTTTTTAATTTTTTTTTATGAGGGTTTGCAACAGCAGAGGTAATATAAACTCTCAGGGTGCCGGTGTTTTTGAAAAAAAAGCCCATTTGTAAGTATGTCGGGTTCAAATGCAGGGCCGCTGGGTTCGAACCCGGGACCTTCACCTTACAGTGATGAGCGCCGTGTCAACGCCTAAACCTTTGCTGCCACGGACGCCCCCTAAATTTATTGTTGTTTATTTAAAACTAATAAGCAATAGTTAATCTACAGTTACTGTATAATATATATCTATATTTTGTTATTTGCACAAATTTATTTATATTACTAATATTATGTTATTCGTTTAATTTATTATCCAAATTTGATAAGTAAAATGAAGCTGGTACAACAAAATGTATCTATTTCATTAAAAACTTTCATTAAAAACTTATGTAATTCTAATGCCTGTAGTCTGATAAAGGGAGCAGGCACAAATAAAGTTATTTAAAAAAAAAGTTGGACTGTTGAGACTTTTTTACCCAAAAGAGGAGCTTATTGCCCTATATGAAGTAGCACAGTATGTAAGTTTTTTGGTTTAGGGAACATTTGGACATACGAGTGTTTCCAGGCTATAAGGAAGTAGCCAGTACAAAGAACATTATTAAATAAGTAATGAATATGACGGCCTTTTTTGGAAGCTGCTGGAGAATTTTTTGGGCAATAAAATCAAAACCTGGAGCTTTATTCGTATGGTAGAATGAACGTCAAAAGGTGAAAAAAACTTAAGGAGAAAGGGATAATGGAATCGGGGAAGTGTAAATAATCCTCAATAAGTTGAATAAGTATGGGATATAATGTTGGCATGAGGGGTGAACACTGTGGTCAGGTAAGAGGCGAAAGCATTCGCTTTCTCTTCGTCTGACTTGGCCCATCCCTGGTGAAGCGAAGTAGATAATATGTGGTAAGAAAAGAGGTTTTTTAGCAGCTACCCAGAGCGATTTATCATCTGTTGTTAGTGATTCGGTGATGTGATATTGTAAATAAAATTAATTGATTAAAAACATTATAATTTAACTGGTAATAATGTCTATTTAAAAAACTTTCTCTAAAACTAAGCTTTACTAGTTCAGAGTTCATAGTACTTGTCTATTTGTTTGGCAAGTATTTAGCTAACCGGCTTTCGGGCCGAGTGGAGGGTTGACAGTTCAAATCAAATAGCAGCTTTGGTCAACAGTTAAATTTGACTAACCCTTTTAGTAAAGGTCCGAGACAGTACGGTGAATCAAGTCGGGTTCGAATTGCATCCTTACATTTAATAATTAACAAAGGGTGGTATTTCGGTTGGGTAGGAGCAGGGATTATCTTACAGGTTTATTTTACGAAACGAGTTTTTACGGTGGTTAAATAAAAAAAAACTTCTTGTGGGAATATCTCAACAATCGAGTCAACGGTACTTTTACCCCTTTTACATCCGTTCAAAAACTTGAGGAACGAGTAATCAAAGCTTAAAATAGCCTTCGTGAAGAAACAGCATTCGTATTCAGTCATGTACGTTGTCTGATGTAACGACGAGCAGTGGGTGTCGAATATTGTTTGACACCCAGGTCAATTTGAACAGCTGTAAAAGGAAAAAGATGAGTAACAATTAGAACAACGATTATTCGGAGATCGTCAGATGTGGTCTGGTGTGACGTAGGTTTTAGAAAAACATTTTGTTTATCGTTCCAACGTTTCGATCTTTTATTGAGATCATCTTCGGCGGCACTCTCAACACGACACACAAGGATGGCACAATTACACAGAAGACAAACACTTTGAGCCCTGAAGATGATCTCAATAAAAGATCGAAACGTTGGCACGATAAAGAAAATGTTTTTCTGAAACCTACATCACACCCGACCGCATCTCACGATATCTGAATTACTATCGATTAACGGTCACTAATCTCTACACATTTTGTTTATCTTGCCAACGTTTCGATCTTTATTGAGATCATCTTCAGAGCCTGGGATTTACAAACATTGTTTAAATTTAACTAATTTAATCTTTTTTTTGCATTGAATAAATTCACTTTTTTTTCACATCCTACATGTATTTGTTAAATTTAAACAATGTTTGTATGTACTAGGCCCTGAAGATGATCTCAATAAAGACCGAAACGTTGGCCCGATAACGAAAATGTTTTTCTGAAACCTACGTCACACCAGACCGCATCTCACGATCTCCGAATAATCATTAACTAACGGTCACCAAACACCACATATATCTACATTTTCAAAGCTCCTTACGTCACTAATTTCACTTTCCAAAACTACCTCAAAATTCCTTTGGTGAATAAACTGATCCATTTCCGATTCTAAAAGTTTCATACCAAACTCTTCATCCGGAGGTCCACTGCTGAAGCCTTCCATCCCGAGAACCCGCTCGTCGCTTTAATCGACGATGACCTGACTGAGTTTCTCTAGTCATGTCTCTTCCGAGTGCGTATATAATAATACTGGCGTATAATATGTATTAATAATTACTGTGTAAAATACAAATGAAATAATTAAAAATAATAATATAAAATATTTAGTCCAGTTTTAATAAATAAATGGAATATTAAAAAAAATCTTTTCTCGTTCAGTGCACGTAAAGATTATTGCCACATTTGTAGATCAGAGAGGGGAAAAAATAGACAATGAAAAAAATGAACAATAGCGTCTGATAAATTCCTGTATGTCGAACGAAAGAAGGGTCGAAAATATACGTCGCCACAAAAGGGAAAGAGGAGAGCAAATAAGATTTCACAACTTTGCCATTCAGCACACGTTCCCTTCGCACTCAAAGTCCACATCTCCGCTCCTAACCTTCTTCCCTCAATTTGTTATAATTTGTAATTCATTGGTGCGAACATCTCTA